TTTGTACCTGGTACATACATACATCTGCATTAGTCAAAAGCATATAAGAGTTAGTATAGATTCCAAAATATCTGGGCACAATGACTCATTCCAGACAGATTTTCTGGTTAGCAAGTGAAGATAAGTGACATTCAAGCCCCACTTCTCAGATGCTGCTCTCACTGATGGGATTCTCACATGAAGAGACTCTTGTTCAGCAGCCTTTAAAATCTTCATTAGTATCAAGGTTTAATTTCTCTACCTTCAGTGAAACAATACAACAACAATCAGCTATTTTAATTCTTGCTGAGAACACTTTCAGTGTTTTTCCATTAGCTGAGCAAATAAACTTTGCTTCAGCTACCAGTGTTGCCCCCAACAGCAAGTTGTGCCCATGAACCGCATGCCTGGAGATAACCAGCAGGAACCTTCTGCAATTCACCTTTCGGTTCCCTACCTCGCTCACAACTAAACCCTTAGATAAAAACCAACAACAGACAAAAAGTTTGTTGACAGTACAGTGCAAGGAACTATAACCATTGGTTGAAACAATTAAGACATTTTAACAAATTCCACTCCATGGAAAAAGCATTACTGAAACTACTAGAACAGCCCTTTAGAAACAGGGCTTCAGACTGCTCACATGAAATTAAGAACTCCAGAGTGCCTCCCTTCCCTCCAATAGGCTTTCTAGAGGCAGGGAAGCCCTAAAGCTCAATTCATCTCAACCCTAACGTGTGCAGACAGCTTCAAGGAACTAGGGCACTGATATAATGCAGTCTTAAATGCACTCCAGCATTACAGATGTAACCGCAGACTGAATATTAAATAATAGCATGGGAGATAATTTGGTTCAAATCCACAGGATACTCTCACAAGTATGCGGGTCAAGATGACAGTAGCTATCCTTGATCCCTCTGAATTTCAACATGTGGCATTGGTGACCCAGTATGTAGCAGGCTTCTTCATGTCTTAAAACGTAGTAGTGGATCACATCAGTAGGGTATTGTCTGGGATTTTGACACTGCCTGCTAATATGGCCAGATAGGTTAGAATTTCTTGTTTTCTTCATCAAATAATGTTTCGCTGCTGAGAAATGGTTCACCTGCATGTTTCGTTTCATTCACCCATGCAGGTATTACCAGATCTTTTCGCATTTCTATACTGGAGCTGTCTCATCTGCTTGGCAAACAGCTCTTGGTTCCAGCATGTCATAAATGAAGTTTCACCTCATGAAGCAGGTGAAGAGAGCCAGGGTCTCTCTGTAGAGCAGTAGCAGCCAGAGAATGCATCCAATACTGATATGGACCAATCTGAGTTAGACAGTCAAAGGCTGACCAAAGCTTTACCCCTTATCAATTCTCATTTGCAGTTTAGCCTGTATGAAAACATATTTCCATTTCTATGCTCCCCTAAACTTCTCATCAATTAGAGGTATTCACCAAGTATCTAGTACTCATAACAGTTCATTTAAGATGAAAAAAAATTACTGTTTTAACACAGGAATTAAACCAATATAATTCTGAAATTCATGCCAAATCTCTTCCTTCACAGACACCTTGTAACAATCTCTGTTCTGAATTGTAGAAAGAAAAGGAAAATTTGCTTTTCAAGAACTCTATAGAAAGCTTGAAAATCAGTAAGAACAGGACTGGAGCTAGAGCATTCTCTCCCCACCATCCACAAACACAAGGTAATCTTCCTCCAGGCTACTCAAAATCAGAAGTATTGCTCCCAATGCAGTTATAAAGGTCAGACACCACATTTCTCAAGCTCAGTTATACTAAAACCTTTTGGAACAAGAGTAATGAAATGTTTTTGCTGGCAGGTGAAAGTATGCCTCAAAGCTGAGGCGCTGTTCTCTGATAAAGGAGAAACACCAACTATATCTCCAATAGTTCCAACCCTGGCATTCTCATCTACTAAGAATGTAACTGAAATTCAGAACCCTTCTTAGGCATCACTTTATGCTCTACAGAAGACATCACACCTTCAAACAAGAGGTCTGCAATTAAGTCTTGCTCCATTCCATTCCCAGGCAAGGAGTCTTTTGACACTAAGTAGCAGTAATTTGAGCTTCTGGCATACAAAATATCAAAAACATCATTTAAGGATGTGGGCAATTTGCATATCCATCTTTAAGACCTTGAGGCTCACTTCTGTGTGCCTGCAGCAGCCTCTTAATTGGAAGAACCATGTAATCCTCAAGCAACTTTAATAAGGAATGCTAAATATGTGAACTCAGATCTGCAAGACAAACACTCTGAATAGTCATCCCACTAACTGACCAAGTACCAGTTATATCTTTCTTGACCTTTTGTTCCAGGAGTGGAAACAGCTAAGTGAAGGAGTTTTTGCTTCAAAGCACTGAAGTCACTACCTATAGAGAAGACAGGCTTGTTTCCTGCATCAACCAGCCTTCAGCTGAAGACAAGGTGTGGCATCAGCCCAGTCTAGTTTCTTTGGCATCCCCAAGCACATTCAGTGTTCTTTAGTGAAGAGCAGAGATTGCTTTGAGGGTTGGTCAGCCCAGAAGGACTAAAAGCAGTAGTTTCAGTAGCCAAGGCTAGCATACTGAAGCAGGGTGCTTCACAGATTTAACTATTCCACTACCTAATGTCTTAAGAGCAAGCCACCTGCTATGGGAAGAAGTGGTGGTCATTCAGATCCAAAGGGGAGGCAAAGCAATCTCCATTCAAAGGCACAGAAGTCAGCCAGAGACTATTAAATAAGAAGGAAGCCAAAGGATCAGTGTTGAGCTTTAAGCAGCCTCTTAGCTTGACTCATTTTGTGCCACTAGATGGTGCCTACCTCAGGGAGGGTAAGTGGTCAGCAATCACTAACTGAAATGAGCAACAGCCATGAAGCATGGCCTAGTGAATTCACAAAGACAGAGGTACATGTTCTGGCAGTCGTCTTTTAAAAGTCATACTCTTCAGGCAGGATTCCCCTGTTTAGGGGGAATTTGTTTTCAAATTAATGAATTGTGTGTAGAATAGTCAGTAGAAAAGATCAAGCCTTAGAAAAATCCCATTCTTGCAGCCTTAGAAGGACAGCATCACCTCTCTAGGCCTGAGTATGGACATTTCCCCTTCTCTTTAGTTTCCCCTTTGTAAGGTACATGAAGTCAAGCATAAAGTTGACTGATACTGTACAGAGTTGAACTGCAGGAAGACCAAGAAGTAGGGCTTTAGAGGACAATAGCTAAGACTTATAATCAAAAGTGACCAATGCCAAAAACATCCCGTTATATGTAAGAGATTATTCTCACACCACGCACAAGTAAAAAGCTTAGACACAGTCACAAATGCTGTCTCCAGCATGCAGTGAATGATGACAGAAAAAAGCATCCTCAAAAAAGATGGTGATTATTCACTGTCGTATCAGTATTTTCACTAACTGTGTATTAGCAGAATGCAGGTATGAGCACTGGCAATTAAACTACTTTGTATTATTCAAAAAACGTACAGGCTTGGGCTAAAATCAGTCTCACTGTGCAGCAGACTACCTGCTTAAATTTAGAAGAGATCCCTAACTTAGCTCAATCTGCTCACCCTCAGCAGGTGCAGATGTAGCTGAACTAAACACTTGGGAAATATTCCCCCTTCGACCTTTCTGCTGCCAGATTCTTGTTTAAGCATTGTCCTCATACCGGTGACACAGCACTGTCTGTATCAATGTTGGAAAAGGTGGCATAACTTCTTTCTGCCATGCTAGAGCAAATACGTCATCAGGACAAAAGAAGAAAGCATGTGCTGCATGCCAAAGACAAGTCCTGGGGTTGGTGCTGGAGCTGCCTGAAGGTTTTTAGGTCTTGTCCTCCACTATTCATGTACACAGTTGGAGAACACATCTCTCCAGCATACCCAAGCCATCAACAAAAACGTGTAGTATGGGCTGAAGCCACACACAATTGTCATCAACTAAAGCTTTTGTCTTCCCATTTCCCACTGTTGCTGCTAGGGGAACACTGAGTCACAAAAAAGTTTTTATTTAGTGTGAGAAAAGTGTCCATGTTCTGCCTCTACCTTTTGGTAACAGTAAAGTATTGGCTTCCATCCCTTAAACCAAAGCACAGAAAACATGCAGCCTTGAAGGGGTGTAGTTTTAAACACACAAAAGCTAACTAGCACATTCAAGAGTTGTAACCAAGAACATAAGTTAAAGATGTGTTCTTGAAAACTGGGTATTTGAGGACTCTGCAAAAAAAAAAGCCAGGAAATAAAGTACCAAAGTCAACATTTCTGAACAAAACTGAAGAAACATCGACATAAGTGGTACATCAATGTTTTTTAATTTGAGAGAGCTTAGAGTTGAAAAATGGAGATGAGACAAACTGAACTTTGCCAACCATCCTTTCATTTTTGTTTTAAAGTGCAAGCATCCATCTGGTAGTTCTTTCAAAGCTAAACAACTGGTCTAAATATATGCAACCTGTGCAGCAGCTGCTGCTGAAATAAAGTACTAACAGAATACATCACACTGCAGTTCATACTTGCCCTCTCAGACAGCACATATTGATTCAAGGGTGCATCCTAAAGAAACTGCTCAAGTGCTGCAATGCAAAAGCAGATCTACCTACAAAGCTGAATAAATGAAGTACACCCTTTTCCCAAGGTGCAAGTTTAATTACCCGCATCCCTGAAAAAGGAAGTTTTGCATCAACTAGGGCTTATGAAGTCATGACTCCGCTGGAGTCAAATAAAACCTCAAGTAAACCTTATATAGATATCTGCTTTTCCACATCTGAATCTTCCTTCCAAAGACTCTAAAGCTCAAAAGATTTAAATGCCCTGTCAGCATTTACAGCACTTATACAAACCTGGATGAAATGCCAATATAGACACTTAATTTTTGGGTGTACAATCTAGATAACGATAAACCTAAGTTCCTTCTGACTAGCAACATCAGTATTCGTTTCTTCTGCCTTTATTTCATGATCTAAGAGAATTGCAAAACACCATCTGACAGCTCACTGCTTGGAAAATGAAGAGATGCAGAAAATCCCAAAATCAACATACCTGTTATTTTGTCCCTAACAAGCTTGCAGGATTCTATTTCACCAATGCTGCCAAACAGACTCTTCAGTTCCTCTTGTGTCATGTTCTGTGGAAGGTAGTTGACTATTAAATTGGTCTTGCTGTCTTCTGTATTCCCAGAATCAACTGGTGATGAGCAGTTGTTTATGGTGGTTGAACCATGGGCTGTGTTATTGCAAGTTGGTCCATTAGACAGTTGTGTTTCCATGGCAGCAATTACCTGCTGAAAAACACAGAAAACAAGAACCATCAAAATTCATATTTCACCATCTATTAGGAGAGTCCAGACAAGAATCTAAAAGACCTGTCACTGTGCAGAAGTGGTATTGCCAGGGCCATATACTGCCTCTATATGCAAAAAAAACCCCCACCACTACAGAAGTATTTTAACTGCTAGTCAAGGCAATACTTTAAAAACTTACAGGCAAATAAAGTTGTCACTAAAATCTTCCAGGAGCTCTCTCAATGAAGTCAACACAAAGCTTAGTTTCCATCCTCCCCCATTCCCTTCACTTAGGGGCATCACAGCCTTTCTGTTATAGAAGTTACCAAGCAGAATTGGCCTGTTGCAAGCGTAATCAGTTCTATTAACTTACAACTGATAACTGAAATTATATGAAATGTAGCTTCTAAACTGATAGTATTTGGTTATTTTCAAAAAGAGGTGGGTGTTAACTGTATCCTGAGCCTATTTCTCATAAGCAATAGCAGAAAGCAAGATTAGTAATTTAAAGAGATACTTAGAGATATATGAATGTGCTGGGATGGAAAACAAACTCTTCCTTGATAACCTCTAGGTCAACCTTCTGTCTCCAGAGGTTGGAAGTCAATTTCTAAATGCTTTTATTTGATTAAACTGACAATTCCTGGTTCTCACTTCTTCCCTCCCCTGCACCCTGAAAACAGTTAAATTTGATACTTCAACTTGATTTACTTTTAGACGTCAAAATAAGGGAGTGATCACCACTCCAGGAACTACTGTGTTTCACCTCAAAGTAACTGACTGTATGATTGGCAGATACAGCAGCAATCATTTGAAGAAGTGTCAGTACTTGCCCACAAGCTACCACATGTACAAAAGGCTCTCTGCCATCTCAAGTCAGTCACTGAATGGTAAATACAGTGCATTTTTCATGGCAGCCTAATATCCAAGACTTAGGCAGCCTACATTGAGACCAACTATATAGGACAACATCCAACAGAAAATTCTATAAACTAATTCTCCAGTAATAAACATTTCAACACAGAAGCAAGGCTCATCAAGAATTTTCACTAAAAAACCCAGCAATCATTGAAATCCAACCTCATACTTAAATTTCTAGGAATTCTCACACAAAAAAGCCTCCTGTAAAATTGCAGTGTAACGTCAGAACCTCCGGAGGTTATCTGTCCTAACTGTCCTGTTCAAACCAGCATATGCAATCAATGCATACCCAAACAGCTGATTAGGTCAACTGTACTCAGGGAATGCAAATTTGCATTTTCTAAAAACATGAGAGGGGGTAAGTTGAGTGCCTTAAACTACAATTCAGATATTCCTAGGAACACATTTCTGTGTTCTGCATACAGAAGTATTTTCGAAGAGGTTACTTCAGCGTAACACAGAAAAGGGAAGATGCATCTATTAAGAACATTTACAAAAACGTGATCTAGTTTTCCTGAAGAGCTACAACTGGAACAACACTTTCTTCCCTTGTGACAAACTCCAAGGGGTAACCAGCTCCTGGCACTATAATGAAACAATTCTGCTGAAAAGATGAGAAAGTAGATGATCCCAATTAAGATAAATTACTTTTCAAAACACTAGTGTTATCTGGCAGAGCTAGTAGCCACAAATGCTGTGCTCTGACTGAGGCTCTCTAGGATTACTTTTTTTTCTCCTCATTTTCTTTTTTCTCAAATTTAGTGTTCATTGATCAAAATTAGCAGGATTCAGCAAGGACAACAAACAATCCTCACTTAATTGCACATTTATTTTCATGTTCAGGTGGCAAGAATGAGATCCTAAGCCAACATTCAAGTGAACAGCTGCAGTAGCCTGCGTGTGCTGAAATTACAGCATTCCTCAGCTATAGAACCATCTGCTCTGAATAAAGTGATACTAATATATTTTACAAATAATGCATATTCCATTGATAGGTTGAATACAACTGTTCATAAAACACAAAGCACTTCAGCAGTTACTAAATATTTTCCACCCAGAAAAATAGTTTAAGAGATAAATTTACAGTTTTCAAACAATTTCTTAGAATAAAGACTTGCAAATATACTTTTAAAATAGTAATCATAAATACACAGTATACACGTTTTTAAAGTTACTGCAATTTAGTATTCAGACCATACCAAAACCATTTTAGTACAATACTACTCTTCAATTATCCACACCAGGTATTTTGAATTAGTACTAAAATCTAATTGACATTAGAAGAAAGGCAAGCCACTGCAGTATAATTTCTACAGGAGATCACCATATTATAGAAGAAGTTGTCATGGTACGCCAGTGCGCTCTAGGCTCTCACAGAATAGGGACACAACCTACAGCCTATAATGAAACGTAGAAGACAGTTAATGTTCCAAATGGGAGATTAAAGAGTTTGGTATGGCCTCAGCACTATTAACATGTAAAAAAGTAGCCTACAGAATTTAAGAAAAATCCCACAGACCCCAGTCCAAGGCTCTGCTGCCCACGAACCACTTCTAAGCAGAGAAGCCACATCACACAGTCTGACTGCCATGTTAGTTTGGAGTTGCCGTCTGCAATATGGACACAAAAAGTACCGTATGTTAGATTAGCAAGATAATGCAACAAATCAGTTTGTACAAATTTACAGTAATTGCATTTATATTCCCAGCACGTCCATGCAGTGTGGCTTAATTGGATTTGAGGCAATTCCAATCTAATCTTTCCAAATTCAGTTCTAAAGTTATTTTTCTTACATGAAATAAGAAGCTTATTTTTAAGAAGATTTAAGATAATGCAGTCTAGTTACCCCTGCATCTACCCTAGAAACTACCTCCAGAACCACACCATGTCTAAAAGGAACTATACCACAAAACAAATTTTTAAAACTTCAAGACTGAAGGAAGAGGAAAGAAAGAAAACACAGTGAGTCAATTTTCCATTAGCACATAAGATGACCGCACACCACTGAAAACCAGCTCCCCTTACGTGCCTTTCCCAGCCCACAAAAAAATAAACAAGATGACAAACTCCTTTGCTAGAATCCAGTCTGTTCTTAAAATCCTAGGTTTTAAAAATGACGTAAATTAAAATCTTGCATAGATGGTATTCAGTATGTTTCCTTGCAATAGCTGTTTAAGAGTACCACTGGATATACAAGTGGCAGTAGAGTCATGGATTTCTCAAGTGGAACAACCAGAGCAATATATGCAAGAGAGAGTTCTTCATAAGGGTATTTTTGTCCCCAAGCACTTCGTTGTTCTTTTTTAAATAAAACATCACTGCAAACCCAGCTGGATTTGAATTGAACAGTGCTAGGAGGATACCACAAAAGCTAATGGGCCATTTGCAGATGATTACAAGTAGTCCAGATGTTAAATATAACCACAATACTGGCACAAACAGGAATACTCCTGACTGTTGCCACAGCTTGAGACTGGTGTAAATACAAGAGATCCTTCTTGCCCCTGGTTAGCAGATGAGGTAAGTCTACAGTTGATAAAAAACACCCCGATTTTGGAAGGCTGCTGCATCCAGGGTTTATAAACATGTACTTCAAAACAACTTCTCCTGTTCTAAAACAGTGTAAATTAGTCTTCATTTCAGTTTGCTACCAAAGTCCATATGGTCAGCTGACTTCATGTCTGTCTTTATTTCTAACTTAGGATGATAAGACCTTTAATCATCTCTTTTTATGCAAAATACTGAGGCTTTGGTATCAGCTGCAAGCTTGCAAGCCATTCTCTCTGGTCTCAACCCAAAAACAATCCTAACAACTGCACTTCTGAAGCTCACCATTGTATACAGGCAAGTATGTTTGATTAACTGCTTATTACACAAAGAAAAACTGAAAGTCTCAACTGACTTCTTTTAAGTCCAGACAAGCTTTATTAAGTATTAAAGTATCAGTCTACAAAATTCTCTGTCCTACAGAGACTGTAGGGATGTGCATGAGATGATATATTTGGATCTCTATGGCTCTCAACAGAACAGCATGACCTGATAGATTATTTGCTTCCTGTGAGCCCTGGGCTGAAGATGGAAAACTCCAACAGGAGAGCTTACCTGTGTGCACAGGACTTCAGTGTACTTTTCACAGTGCCCTTGAGCATCGCAGCACTTCTCAAAAAAGCAAAGAGCACCTCTCATTTGAAGTACTTCCAGTGTACATAACACATCTATCTTCACTGAAGTGTTCCACAAGATACTCACATCAATAAACATGTCCGTTCTCTTAACTACCACACTGTTATGTCTCAAAAGCCAGTTTTGCTCTACCAATTCCTTTACCATTTTTATTACTTTCAAAGCTGCACAGAATGCTCTTTTACATCTAGTTTGAAACACTAGAGTTCTTACCCTTTTACTTATGCTTCTACCTGAACTGAAAAAAAAGGGATATAGCTAATTACGCTGGAGAAAAAAAAAATTTAAAATCCTTTTCCAGCCTAAACACTGTACTTTAAGATTAAAATGGCACATTAAAATAGAATTTGAGCTGTGAATCATCTCCAAAAAAGTTTTAAAATACTGAGCTATTGAAGAATCACTAGTACCATTAAAAAAGTTAATACAGTTTTTGACTATTGGCCTCAAAGAGAGTCTTACACTTAGGATTATTAAAATAGCTCAACAATTACGGCATTCAAAACCTAAGAAATCAGTTAAGTCCAAGAAACTGGGCTCTATGCCTACTAAAGAAATGTAAGTTTGTCTTAAAATACATTCAGATTAAGAGGAGAACAGTTAAGTGAAGTTGGAAAAGGAAATCTGCTCTTTCTTTACAGGCCTGCAAGGAAGCAGAACTGAAGACAAAGCTGTTCATTTCAGCCAACTGTGAGTGGTTCTCTTTGCTAACAGAGTGCATGAGAGCCATCTACCTTTCAATAAACTTACTTTAAATTCACCAAGCACAGTTAAGATTTTAGATCCAAACACTCTTAACACTGTTGGTGGATCCCAGTTTCTAATTAGTTGCAATTCAAGTAAGTCAGGAGTAAGGTCTGCCTAGCAGAGAAGCAACTAGGTTTTTTTTTTTTTAAAGACCAAAGACATCAGGAGTTAAAAAGCCATATGGTTTACACAATTAGTTCTGGTTGCCATAGAACAGCTCCAATTATATCAACAGTAGATTTTTATATGAGAGCTTTAGAAAATAAAGCAGAGCTAGCAAGATGAAGACCAGCAAAACAATAGTCACAGTGGTCTACTAATTTTCCCTGCAAAACAGGTACTTCAGTATATAACATACTCAACTGCTTATGTTCAGCTGAAAATGGAAGCTGAGGCTGGATCCTGGCAGTGTTGAGACAGAACCAAGGTGAGGTGACAAAACAGAAAAGCCTTCAACCACTGTTACCACCTCAGGTGCATATTCCAGGGAGACACCTTTAGTGCATGACACTTCTGGCCAAAGCCTTTCTATCACCTGTTTTGATTCACACCTGTGCATGCCCATCATTGAGAAAAAATATTTCACATAGGTTCTATATACAGAATTTACTTCTCTTTATAGGCGCCACACCGAAAATCACTGCGCAGATGTCTGTCCTGGTTAAGCTACATACTTCCGAATGGTATTATTACATAAAGGCGATTACAGAAAAACCAGCACCTTGAATCTCAATGGCCAGACACCAGATGTTAAACAGATCTGCCTCCTCCAACAGTTTACCACTGTTCAGAGGCAACTGAAGGTGCACCATGAGATGCTTCCAGCCTGAAGGGTCACAGGTGATACAATGCTCTTGATAAAATCCAGAGAGATCTTAAACATGCTCCTGTAGAGTTATACAACAGAGACTTTCAGAACATGCTTTAGAATTCAGTATTTGCCCTTGCTCCTCTTGCATACAGATAGTGCAATGGAAGCACACAAAAATTATCATATGTTGCTATTTGGATAAGCAGATGTTACAGATTTTGTTTTCATAACACCACATAGCAGAACAAGCAGAACCCCCCGGCGGAGTACAATGTCCTTTATATCTTTCAGATATGAAGGTCTAAACCAGAACCTTAGTCTCAGATTGTAATAAAGTTACCCTGCATGAAAGCACAGCATTTATTCCTGCATGCTCAAAGCTGTAAAATAAAAGATAATGGAGTCTGTTGAATCCAGCACATGCAAAAACTATTACATAGGCTGCTAGAACATCCCAAACTTCTTTATGGATAAAGGCACATACAAGCCAGAGGGCATTTCTTCAGTCAACAACCTTGCTTGTCAGAACAAAACACTAGTGACTCTTTCAGTTTCCCTGTAGGAAGGATAGTTGTCGAGGAGAGCTAGATGGTTACCCTGATGTCCATACGTTAACAGCACATATTGAGCTTGGTAAGTCTGCACAAACAGACTCAACAATGCTAATTTCTTAGTCTGTGTTTTTACTGTTATTTTAAAACAGCATAAACCAACATTTCTCCATTAGCAGCCCTCCCCACTTGCACGTCTGTTCATTTGTGTCATTTCCTCTATTATACTACTGAAAAAATCTGTAGCACAAACTCGATTAGGGTACTGCTCCAAGAGAAAACTCACTCGGCCCAAGAGAACCAACCAGTAGAGTATCTCTTGATTTATGCAAAGTTATGAGGAAGAACTTTGTGATACAATACTGATCAAAGACAAAAAAAAACTCACAGAAAACTTAGAATTAGCTTCTGATAATAAGGTGGTCTCAAAATTTTCAAAGTAACTTACAAAGTTACTAATGTTAAGCACAGGCAACTGTAAGATCAGAAAGCAGAGGAGTTCTATGCAACAAAAAACCCAACTACATAGCCTCTCTAAGGTGACAGGTTAGAAGGTAAACCTTTTCACACTGGCTCTTGTATGAATCACTAAACAAGTAATATACCACTAACACTTCTGTACCTTGGCCTCAAAGGCACGGTGAGAAAGTGAGTGAAGAGATGGAAGACAGATATGAAAAAAATCACATGGGATGTAAGCAAAAGGATTTTAATTCATCCTTGTGATTGGTGCTGCAAAAGTTAATCTGCAGAATCTTTCAGCAAGGATGAAGAGACAGCTAGACAGACTTGCCCATTCCAGGTAGGCAACGAGAAAACAAGCAGACAACTGCAGGCAGCTGAACAAGAAAGACATCAGTACAGGCATGAATTCTGCTATCAGGAAAAGAGCTTGACAGTCCTGATGACTGCACTAGAAGGACAGAAGGAAGAAAAGGCAAGTTATCTACTGAATGTAAAAATTTATAGGGAACACTAAAAATGTATACACTGATTAAAAAATGTCTCCACACAGTATGCAACGCTTTTGGAAACTCTTGGCATTCGCTGTACAACACCTAAGAACCTACGGGATGCTCTAAACAATGCCGCACTAATGCTACTAGTGTATTAGGAAAGAAGCCAGCATAAAGATTTGCAAGCAGTTCTGAAAAAATAATGCATGAACAAGGTGAGGACATTGCTTGACAATGGAGCAATCTAGACACCATGCAGGAGCTCTTCTGTCTGACTGCAATTACTGACTACCTTGTCAGCTGGGGGAAGGAGATGTGCAGGGTAATTTAAGTGATCTTAGAAACCATACTAGAA